TATATATATATATATATATATATATATATATATATATATATATATATATATATATATATATATGTATGTATGTATATATGTATCTGCAAGGAAATGACTGAAAGTCAGTTTGTGGTGTCCCTCATCATGTGGTGTGTTTCAGTGCAGTGTTGTTAGTGAAGTGAGCATTGATTGCTATAAAGTGTGCTGTTCTTCATCTCAGTATATTGTCATCTCCAGCTGATGGTCAGCAGCTGATTGTTTCCTCAAAGCTCTGCTAATGTCTGCATTGGTGTTTTAGCTGCAGTATGGCAGAGGAGCGAGTAAAGGACTCTCTCTCAGAGAAACACAGGTATTGACTCTGTTTTTACACCATTATTTCAACACTTTCTCTGAAGAACAAAGACCAACAACAATGCTCTTATTTGTGTTGCTATTGCCTGATCAAATGATGGACAAAGCTTCAGTTTACAGCTTCAGCAAATGTGTTTAGATCATTCTAGATTACAGACAGCTCGATCTGTTGACATCTTTACCAGAGCTCAATGTGTGTCATGTGTCTGGTTTAAAGTCCAGAACAACACCAGAGTTAAAGCTGACCACAGAACAGTTTCAGCTTGTGCTTATAGAAGAGAGAAAGAAGATCAACAGAACTTAATTTAGTACAAATGTGCATGTTAAACATGGTGTGTAATTCAGTGAAGAGGATTTAAAAAAAAAATTGTATCTCAGACTTGGAGATTGTAATAATTTTTATAAATACACAATGATCTTTATATTTCCTCATCTAGTTTCTGTGGTGAGTTTTTTACTCAAGAGGTTACACAACAAGGTTTTAGAGTCAAATGTGTTTTCAGTGAAGCTGAGATTGTGCAGAATGAGAAAGCAGCTCATCACATTTACCCATGATTCCTGTGTAGCAGACCTGATCAGACAGACCTTCAGTCAACTATTAGTTTGTGCTGAATTAACAAAACAAACTCTTAAAAACTATTGTAAAGGAGACTGAAGTTTGTCCTGCAGTTTATTCCTCTGGTGTGTTTGTGTGTTCAGTGTGAGATCAGGATCATGTGTGTCCAGCTCTGTGTCTCTGAAGAGTGACTGGTCAAAAGAGTTGAATCCACCATTGTTCAGAGAGAAAACACCATCATCTGCCCACAGGTACTTTGTGTTTTACATTATTGCTTGAACAATATAGTTAGAACATTTTATTATATTTACACAATGCTTTAAAGGCTTGATGTTCAGCATCTATTAAATAAAATCCCAAAGACAAGGTGAAGATCAAAGCAAACACAGAATAATCCAAGGAACAAGATGGCAGACAAATCATCACCCTGGAGTTTTAAGGTTCACTCTGTGTTCTGAATGATTTTGAGATATTGAGTTTAAAGTTTTTGCAATCCAGAGCAAAGAGTTTGTGTGTGACATTTGTTTTTTTTAAATAAAGTCTTAAAATGTAAACGACTTATATAAAACATCCCATAATGTAAATAAGTTGTCATTTAATTTTAAATTAACAAAAATGTCAGATAGAACTATTGTGAGCAGTTTTTTTCTATTAATTTGAATTTATGTTTTTAGACTATTTAATTTTATATTAAGTCGAGGTATCGCGTTTTTTATTAAAAATATTTGATCCATTATAATTGCACCAATGTGTTTTGGTTCTCTCTCTGTATGAAGCAGGTCGCACACCAGAAGTGCCGCTCAGCGACGTGCAGCGGCATGCATTTTAGAATTCTAAACACAGGTTTCAATCAGGGTACACACACCGGCGCCGCAAGTCAGGGCGCCTAGCCACGACTCAGGTCGCAGTTCATATTTCAGCCGAGCCACAGAGCGCCATCAGATTAGTTTCATGTTAAATATCATGTGAATGTGCACGTCTGGTGTGTGATACTTTAAACTGTCATGTGCGCTCCGTGTCGCGGCGCCGACCTGCTTGACTGCCCGTCTGGGTGTTAATCTTGGTAGTGACAAACTGAACACAGAGACTGGACAGCCTAATTTAACCCAATGCATGAAGTTGTGGGCATGCATCGCAGAGCTGGTGCAAATACAACAAATACAAGCATTTAAGTGTCTTCAGTTGTGTATTTTTCTTTTGTTAATACTCTTGCATCAAACGCAATGTGGTCCACTCTCTTACACTACTCCAGCACTGCCTGACGAGGGGATTTACAATCAGACTAATGCAACAAGTAAAATCCTACATGACTTCATGCTTTACTACTCAATCTCAACATGTACGAAGGAAGTAAAAACCTGCTTTTTGAAAAACTGCACCGATCTTAGTTCGAACCGCGCTGTTCTTTTGGTTTGAACATAAGCAGAGGTGAGCAGCTGTAGCAGTGAAAGTGAAAGTACCCGCCTCATGACATCATTAACAGACCGAGTTGAAACCCAGACAGGCAGTTAGGCAGCATAATACAGAGAGTGGAGCAAAACGCATCAAATGATCGATAAATGCCTTGTTGATGAGGTCAAAGGAGAATAGCCAGACTGGTTCCAGCTGATAGAAAGGCAGCAGCAGAAGACCACACCGGGTGCCGCTCCTGTCAGCTAAGAACAGGAAACTGAGGCTACAATTCACACAGGCTCACCAAAACTGGACAATAGAAGATTGGAGAAACGTTGCCTGCTCTGATGAGTCTCCATTTCTGCTGACACATTCGGATGCTTGGCTCACAATTTGGCCTCAACAACATGAAAGCATGTATCCATCCTGCCTTGTATCAGCGGTTCAGACTGGTGGTGGTGGTGTAATGGTGTGGGGGAGATTTTCTTTGGGTCCATTAGTACCAATTGAGCATCAACGCCACAGCTTACCTGAGTATTGTTGCTGACCATGTCCATCCCTTTATGAGCACAGTGTCTCCATCTTCTGATGACTACTTCCAGCAGGATAACACCATGTCATAAAGCGTGAATCATCTCAGACTGGTTTCTTGAACGTGACGATGAGTTCGCTGTACTCAAATGGCCTCCACAGTCACCAGAGCTTAATCTAATAGAGCAGCTTTGGGATGTGGTGGAACAGGAGATTGGCAGTGCTACTCGTGTGATATTGCGTTTATACAACAGTGCTGCAGCATGATCATGTGTATAGAAAAAAGAAAATCAAACAGAGAGTCTAAAAACCCTTTTGTATGTGGAACTACTTTCTTCTGCAGCTGATGTCAGAACAGCAGAAACCGTTTCTACTTCACTAATGTCACTTTGATAGTATTTTATTGCTTGAATGATTCTCTAGCGTAATGTCTAAAGTGATGATAAAACAGCTGATTTTGCTCACATTTAAGACTATAAGGCAGAACTGCATGAAATGCCATCAGTCTACAGAGATTTCTCTATTTCTCTGTTGCAAACTTATTAGACTTAGACTTAAGTAGACTTAAGGCAAACTTAAAGGCTTATTATTTGGGTAGCACACATATTCTGAATGCCTTCGGCAGAATTCAAATGAGCCATTTTAATCTAGATTAGTTCAGAGATTGGCAATTTCCATGTGTGTGTTTATCAATAAATCTACATGTTTGATAACTCCTTTGATCCTTTGTCTTCCTGTGAGAGGCCAGGCATGAAAATTTAGAGTATTCTACAAGATCAGAGACTCCATTTAGGAGCAAATAATGAACAATTTGGAGAGTGACACAAGGAATGCTTCATTAACTCCACTGAACACTGAAACTGATCTAACACACATTCAGTTGCTATAGGAAGAGGCAATACAAGTGAAGAATAAAGGTATAGCACTAGCTAATTGAGCCCATAGGAAATTATGAATTATTAATCATTCATAATTCTCTTTGCTAATTTTGCTACAAAGAAATTTAGGAGCACAGGGGCTGATGGGAAATAAACCCCTGTGCCCTCCAGTGTTCTTAAGAAAGACTGCAGCAGGTGGTGACGCTCCTTTTCCTCTGGTGTGTTTGTGTGTTCAGTGTGAGATCAGGATCATGTGTGTCCAGCTCTGTGTCTCTGAAGAGTGACCGGTCAAAAAATCATCCACCAGGCTTCAGAGAGGAAACACCATCATCTGCTGAAAGGTATTCAGTGTTGTACATTTTTGCTCACACAAGAGCTGTTTTTAACATATTAGTCCAAATACATGCGCTATAGGGGAAATGAATAAACTAAAATGGCCATAGTGTGCGTGTGTGTGTGTGTGAGTGAGTTAGAATGAGTGTATGGGTGTTTCCTTTTACTGGATTGCAGCTGTAAGGGCAGTCGCTGCGTAAAACGGAATAGTTGGCAGTTCATTCCGCTATGGTGACCCCTGATAAATAAGGGACTAAGCTGAAGGAAAATGAATGAATATCTGTATACAAAACATGTATTATGTTCAGTGTTTGTAAGATGTATCTGTATGTGTTTGCCACTTTATTATTACAGTAGTTTTATCTGTTAACAGTGATGAATATGAGTCAGCAGATTCAGGAGACGAGACTCACAGGAGACACAAGAGCTTCACAGACAATCTCCGGTGGATCTTCCAGGTAGGAAAAACTCTTTTGAGTCATAGAATCACTGAAATAACTCCATGAAACACAGAAATATTTGTTCACAAGACTTTTGAGAACTGAATCTTGTAACCTGCTTGACCTGTCTGAATCTATGAAGGGTCATACATTAAAATATATTTTCTTTCTTGTTTTCTTGTGATCGTGTCTGAATTTCTCATGATTTTGGAATCAGGGGAGGAGTCTCTCAACGTAAGAATTTTTTATCGAAAATTGATTTCATATCACATTATCTGCAGGGACTGACTTTTGAAAGTAATAGTCAATCACTTGCAGAAAGGACACATTAAAGCATAAGCAGATCTTCATCATTCTTCATCATCTCATTCATTCATGCAGCAGCTTATTTTGAGCCATACAGAACTGTGCTTTAAAATGTTGAGGGAATATTATTGGAAACAATGAGAGATAATATTATACATGAATAATAATAATGCATGTACATTAGTCATGAGCAGGGCAGAGTGATGCATTGACTATTAGCGATAATATCGGAATAAATTTGACAACATATTCAAAATGCAAGCAAATTTTACTATTTCAATATTACGTCCCCTTAAGCATTACCATACGCACAAGAGACGTGAGGGAGGGTCTTTTTAAAAACATTTCTAAAATGCAAACTGAAGACGACAAACAGCACAGTAGAAACAGCTGGGAGGAGATGATGAATTAGTCCCCAATAAAAACACACTCTGTAATTTCGGGTTTTCTGTGACACATTTGCCAGAGATGTTGACAGAAGACACAGAAAGCGAAGGCACTCCCGGTCAGTTTTACTCATTTTACATGAACATATAGTTTAGTTGTAATCATGAATGTACACAAATAAAAATGATAATAACCTTTACTGTTCAGATCTGTTTATCTCATGAACATGATCAAAATGAGTATTTCAGCTCTTTTTATGGAAATCTCTGATGTGCATTACTCTCTTATAATTCAACAGACTAGAGTCAATTTCTCCATATATCAATTTAATAGACGTCTAAACACAGATGGCTTGGTTAAAACAGGATTACATTCTGTAAATGGGGACTAGTTTTGAACTTTTAGGTTTTCAAATACACAGATCAGACAGATTTCATGTGTAGAGTTGGTAACTACTTTTAATCGACTTAAGCTCTGCTCGAAGAGTCGCTAAATGTCACTAGGTGGCGTATGCATAAATTAGCATATCTGAATCTAAAAAAAAATAATCTGCTGACACAGTGCAATGTCTGCTGCTGATATAGTCTTGATAAGGATTGATAAGCCATAAAAAAGCAGACTCCTCCCAAATCTAACTGCCATGAGTATAACTGCATTCACCATCGGGAGGCGCTACAATCACTCTCACACTCATGTGTGCCCGATTGTTCTGCTAAGTGAGCAAAGCAGCGACATATAAGTTGAGTAACTGCTGCCAAATAATAAACTGATCAAATTTAAAACAAAGGAGAAGCAGAGATCTGACCGTACCAGAGAAATACCTCACGCTCATGAGACTTTAGTCCAGAAGTTGTTTTGAGATAAAGTTGCTAAATCATCTGCAGTTGGTACTTTGAAATGGCTGAAAATCCCTGCTCATATAGAAGAGCAGGAACGGTACAGTACAGACCGATGACTGTACAAAACATGGACAACGCAACATTGCATTTTCCCAATAAATGCTTTGAAGGAAAAACGCCTCGTGACGGGCACAAACTGTGGTAAAACAATGCTGAAATTGGAGCCTGGGCATGTGCAGAAGGACTGTCTGATGGAGCCAGAAGAGGAGTTTCTTTTTTGCCTCCGTTTTCATTCGGTTATTTTGATGCCTTCATTATATCTTGCAAAGAGGAATTTACATTTATTTGAATGCTTATTAGGTGTTTTCAAATAAAAATCCAATGGTACATGATGTATATAAGTAATATATCACATTTACTGCTCTATCTGTTATTTAAGAGGCGGTTTCTGGAACATTAATGTTTTATAACAGCAAATTCAGTAGATTAAGCACACACAACTCTTACTGCTACAGCGTGAGATCATTTCTACTTTGTGCACCTGCAGGGCGCCAGTGTGTCGGTCTGCTTGTGAGCCGTGCGTGCACCACTGCCAATATGCACACGTCTCCAATGGAAATAATGTACTTGCGTGTAGAAACGATGCAATATGTCAACGGCTTGCTGCCATAGTTAATCCAATGTGCGTGCAACAGAAATGCGGCTTTGAGAAGCCTTTAATGAATAAAAGTGGCGTTAATAGTGAAATCAGCTAATCATTGCGTCCCTGTTAACGATATCAGTGTATTGTGCAAAAGGCCTTTTCTACAAGCATATCCGAATGTTTTCAGCTGCTCGCACCGCTCGCTTGATGTCAGGTGGCTCGCGCTCTGCAGCCTTCATCTGCAACTCTTGCTGTATTGAACAGACGCACGTCACTTCATAACTATAGCAGCTGTTTTTAGACTGATCTAAATGTATTTTTGATGTCTTGGTCACACTATTTGGCGGGCCGGAACAAATGGTCTTAAAATAGGGCCGGGTTCAGTGCATGGGCCGCCAATTGAATGGCCCTGGTTTACATGTTTATTAGGTTTATCTGTTTCCCACAGCCGTTCAAATGTTGCATTTCAGACATTTGTCAGGTATTTGTTCTCAAACTGCTCCTGTGTGTAGGACTAGTCTCTTAAACATCTCAACCAAAGACTGTGTTTGGTTTTAGTGTGATTTTTGTCCTTTGTAGCTGTGAAATTTCATTTTTAATAACATGTGAATGTGTGTGTCTGGTGTGCGATACTTCCAGCTGCGTTGCGGCTCTGAGTGATCCATCCGGTGTGTGACCCCCTTAAGTGTAATGTGCTCAACCTGCTTGGATGTACTTTAACTGTGTGTTTACCTGAAATAACCTTTAAATGTCATTCAGCTAATCAGAATCAAGCATTTAACAGACTCATATGATACTGTATTATAATAAACTTTCATTATTGAGTAGGTTGTGGATGTATAGCTTTGTGTGAATGAATGTTTTGTTTAAATGTTGATCTTCTCTTTTCTTCACTCATAGAATCTTGAGGGTAAAATGATCAGATTTCTGAAGAATCAACTGGAGAAATTTAAGAAAATCTTACAAGAAGAAAGCAGTCAAGAGTTTGTAAAGGAGTTTAATGAGAACAGAAGCAGAATCACAGAAGCAGCTCTTGATCTCACACTCTTCTTCCTGAGAGAGATGAAGCAAAATCAAGCTGCTGATACTCTCCAGGGTAAGAGACTCATGGATAGACCCACACGAAACCTGCAGATTTACACAGATTTATAACCTGTCATTGAGTCTGTTTATTTACCTGTGTAAATGTGTGTTCATTTATATTCATTCAGTTTATTAATTTCAGTAATATTATTGACTAATATGAAAATGTTCATGATTTATTTGCAGTGCAGTTTGTAAAGTCATATTTTCTGTCCTTTAGTAGATCTGCTATAGAAGAGTCTTGTGCTTTGTTTACCAATTAAGTGGATCTAATTGGATTTGTATTGTACACATTAAATATGATTATTTTATAAGTTAAAAAGTTTTTTAGCTTAGTTTTTAGTTATGATACTGCACGATTCTCCTCAGAAATAGCAAAAAATGTCTGAAAGTTCAGTCTGGCCCTACTCATCTCAATCTGTCAGACTGACACTTACAAATAAGTCGAGACTAAACCTGTCTGTTTCTTTGCTCCTGTGTTTAGATGAGCTGTTCTTCATTTATCAGCTTAAATGTAGCCTGAAGAAGAAATATCAAAGTGTGTTTGAAGGAATTGCTCAGCAAGGAGACTCCACACTTCTGAATAACATCTACACAGATCTCTATATCACTCAGGGTGCGAGTGAACAGGTCAACACTGAACATGAGATCAGACAGATTGAAGCTGCTTCCAGACGTCATCAGTCACTAGAGATACAGGTTGAATGCAAACATTTGTTTGAAGCAGCTGAACAAGACGAGCAGATCAGAACTGTCCTGACAAAAGGAGTTGCTGGCATCGGGAAATCAGTCTCTGTGCAAAAGTTTGTTCTGGATTGGGCTGAAGGGAAAGAAAATCAAGACATCAGCTTCATATTTCCTCTTCCATTCAGAGAGATGAACTTAAAGGAGAAAGAAAGACAAAGTTTAAAAGACCTCATAACTCAGTTTTTCCCAGAGACTAAAGGACTGGACCTTACAAGAAGCATACGATTCAAAGTCCTGTTCATCCTTGATGGATTGGATGAATGTCGTCTTCCTCTGAACTTTGCTGGTAATGAGACGTGTCGTGATGTATCTTCAGCAGTCTCTCTGGATGTTCTCCTGACGAACCTCATCAAGGGAAATCTGCTTCCTTCTGCTCTCATCTGGATCACCAGCAGACCAGCAGCTGCCAGTAAGATTCCTGCTGACTGTATCGACCGGCTGACAGAGATACGAGGATTCAATGATGCCCAAAAGGAGGAGTACTTCAGAAAGAGACTCACAGATCAGAATCAGGCCAGAGAAATCATTGATCACATTAAACAGTCAAAGAGTCTCTTTATTATGTGCCACATCCCAGTCTTCTGCTGGATTTCAGCCACTGTTCTCCAGAACATACTGAAACTGAAACACAGGGCTCATGCTGAAACACTGCAGGAATCTCCCAAGACTCTGACACAGATGTACACACACTTCCTCCGCTTTCAGATCCAGCAGAGCAGAAGAAAGTATGATGGAGAAAACACAGCAGATGTCTCCTGGGATCCAAAGCTCATCCTTTCACTGGGGAAACTGGCCTTCCAGCAGCTGGACAGAAACAATGTGATCTTCTATGAGAGCGATCTGAAAGACTGTGGCATTGACGTCTATAAGGCATCGGTGTACTCAGGCATGTGTACCCAGATCTTTAAGGAGGAGACGGGAATCATTCTTGGTACCATGTACTGCTTTCTTCACTTGAGCATTCAGGAGTTCATTGCAGCCCTTTATCAACATCTGATTCTAGACAGCGGCAAGACACAAGCAGAAAAAAGCAGAGATAAGATCATGATTGATTTGCTGAAGACTGCAGTGGACAAGGCTCTGGAAAGTGAGAATGGACATCTGGACCTTTACCTTCGCTTCCTTCTCGGTCTGTCACTCCAGTCCAGTCGACAACTCTTACGAGGCCTGTTGACACAGCAGGATGACAGAGACCAGAGCAAAGAGGAAATAATTGCCTACATCAAGCAGAAACTTGAAGGGAATCTGTCTCCAGAGAGATCCATTAATCTGTTCTACTGTCTGAATGAACTGAACGACCAAACTCTGCTGAAAGAGATTCAGTCTCACCTCAGTAGAGGACGTCTGTCATCTGCTCGCCTTTCACCTGCCCAGTGGTCTGCTCTGGTCTTTGTGTTGTTGACCTCAGAGGAGGAGCTGGAGGAGTTTGAGCTTCAGAAATTCCAGAGATCAGACGAGTGTCTCATCAGACTATCAGCAGTCATCAAAACCTCCAAAAGAGCTCTGTAAGTCAAAGTGTTTCTTTCTTTCATCTGTAGAAGTCCATCTATTATCCCAAAGATGAAACTAACAGCATGTTTAAAGGTTAAATAAATGTAAGCTTTTCTAGTGCTTCTGAAAAGCATTTTATTTATTAGAATTTATTTATATTTGTTTTTTTAGCTCTGAATTTAATCTGCCTCCAATTTTAAGTGATCCTAAAATTTAGCCTGTATTTCTAATTGTAAGAACGGATCACATTCATCATTTATGACTTAATTTAGAGTTTAGATTTATATCTGTTCCAATACTCTTCAGTTATGCGTTCACTAGGGACCAAACATCGCTCAGACTTTCACAGTCCGGGTTTTGCATGTCTTCTCACGGACAGTATGTCAACATCCTAAAGTTAGTCAGAGGAAGTTGAGTTAGCTAATACTTAAATATTCTGGTTGCAAATTGCTCACTCATCCAAGTTGACTTAGCCACTTCTAGACAACTTGCTAATTTCAGTGATTAGATGATTAAAGATCTCCATGCTGTCGTTTCAAAACGGCTCTGTACAGTCAAATGTGTCTCTATAATCAAAAGTCTAACCATGTCACATCATAAAGGTAGCGCAGACTGTGTGACTGAGACAGGGCAAACACAGTGATACTCAGTGATGTTTGCTTGTCTCCTCCAAAAACAGCTCCTGCAGACACTGTGTGATGTTCTGAATGTTTATAATATGTTTGCGGCAGATAGACGCCAGTCGCTTACTGTATATCCAAAACCAAACGACTCAGTAAAAGCAGAATGACCACGATGAGCGGCGCTTGCTTGCGTCACCTTCACTTAGAAATGGCCATAAACAAAACAGCAGCTCGATGACGCAAGCGTACCTGGTTCAGAAGGCAAAAAGACAGCGTGAACACAAACCAACCGAGGAGGTGGCAAGGGGGGACAATCGAACTTGGGTACGGTCCAGGCAATTGAACCAAGTGTGAAAGCACCCTTAATGGTGAGTAAAGGTTTAGGAGAACTATCTCATAAGAAACAGCCAGTATATTACATTGTCCATTAACAAAAATTGCACAAAAGTCAGCTATAAAATGAAACAGCACCCCAACAGTTCTTTCTGGTAAGAGCCATTTAATTGTTTTATGGACATTAAAACTATTAAATGCTAAAATCAGCAGATGTACTCACTAATTAGTTAAGTTAAACCAGTCACTACAGTCAGACGTGCTTCAGACTATTAAACACACCAGATCAACACAAACATATTGTGTTTATCCTCTACACAGGCTACAGGGCTGTAAACTCACTGTTCAGTGCTGTGAGAGTTTATCTTCAGCTCTACAATCCTCAAACTGTGTGCTGAGAGAGCTGGACCTGAGTATCAATGACCTGCAGGATTCAGGAGTGAAGCTTCTCTCTGATGGACTGAAGAGTCAACACTGTAAACTGGACACACTGAGGTAAATGATTCTCCACTCTACAATAACTACAGTCAGTTACATATGGTTTACCAAATCTGGAACCCCTTTCAGGTAAATTGGCAGAAGAATAATAAAAAGGGATGCAGGGATGTGATTTTATTCGTTTCTGCACATTGATAATGATTATATGATCATATCTAGGAGTTGACTCTGAATAAAAAAGACAAATCTATTTAAATGTAAGCTATCGGTGATACTTGTGGATCCAGGCTGTCTATAGAACGAGTTTTCTCCACTGCGTCTGTCATGGATCAGCTGTGATCAGCGCAGTCATCAGCATCATCATCTCTGTAGAGGAACACGATGACCAATCACAGGTGTTTAAGAACTCGCTCAACAGTGCTCAAAAAGCAAACAGGATTAATAATTCAATGACAAGTCAAGACAATGTTTATTTATAAAGCGCTTTTAAAGACAACAAGCTTTTACCAAAGTGTTGAACAAGCGCTATTTAAACAAAGGACAAATAAAGGACGCAAGACTTAACACAAGAAGACAAGACTATTGATGAACTCCAGCATAACACTGTATGACAACACTTCAGATGACTGATCTAGAGCCTGCAGCTAATCAATCTGACAGATTCTGGAGCACATTACAGCTCTAAAGAGCATTTAAATGATGAATGATCTTATACAAAACAAATACATCTATAGAGATGCTATATAAGTATATCATTTCACTCACCTGGGAAATGGAGGCCACATGAACGGTTAGTGAAGTGCACACAGCATGCCATATCATCTGATTCTTGTAGGAGACAATTCCAAAAGGCAACTGACTCTGTAAAGCCGCATAAACAACACAAAAATACACCGAGTTCAGCGGCTAATCAGCCGGAATCAGCTGAGGTGATGAGACCGCGACCAGCGCGACCTAGCTGTCACTCAAAGTGGCCACGCCCATAATTATGCAGACTTAATATAAAGGAAAATAAATAAAGAAAGAAAAACAGATGAGTCATAAGAAACATCACCCCCCTCACAGTTATCATGAAGGCTAATATTAGCCATATGAACCAAAACACCTTTATTCTGCTGTAAAGTCGGCCATTTTAACAGTGGGCTCAATAGAAATCTGCTCTTTAAGGAGCCGTGAGTAGTGGGATTTCCATGAATTGCAGTTTCAGGTACTTCTGTGTTGGCTTCATGAGGGAGAGTGGGAGATTACTGCTTGGTCATTGCTCTACTTATTTACTCAGTGCTATAGCTGAGCACCGTGCACTGTAGCACCATCTACAACAGTAAATCTATACACTGCTGTAAACTATTGCTGTACACTGACATTGCAAAGAGGATTTTAACTATTTTAAGCCCTT